ACAATGACAAGTAAACGAGGCATTGAGGACTTGTCCATATTGTAAAAACCACTCCTTGCTGTCTCATGCCCAGACCCTAGGGTGGTGACCAAAGCATGTTCAGGTGAAGCACATTTGCCCTTTCAGAAGCTGAAACGGGTCAACTCTGCCTCACGTCAGGTCCCATCCCGTCACATCCACTCCTTCCGCGGCTTCAGGGCTTCGCCCGTTCCCCCGGCGTTGCGTCGGCCGCCCGTCCAGGACGGCCGCGCCATCCAGCATGCCGCGCCGGAGGTGCGGACGGACTCGAAGCTGCAGCGAGCCATGCGCGGCAATGCGGATGTCTTGAGATTTCTAGGCTTCGACAGCCGGCAGCGCTTGAGCACCGAAGAGGATGTGGGCTTTTGGGAGAAGGCACAAGTGGCAGATATGCCAGAAACACAGGCGGAGTGGATTCATATATAATATGCAGTGTATGCTTGAGATGCTTTTGGTGCTCTTTAGATTGGTTTCCCTTCTCATCACGCCTCCCAGACCTCGAGGAGCTCTTCGATGCCTACATCGGCACCTGGACTTCTCCCTACGACGACGACGCCATCGCCGCCGCACTGAGGGGCAAGAGCCGCGCCTGACGAACCTCCCAAAACGTGGGGCGGTGCACCAGCTCGGCACACCCGAACGGCTGTGTGAAACAGATGCGAACAGGGGGCACCGGCGGATGGAGTGAGCTGAATCTGCATTGACTTCAACAGTGAAATGGAAGCAAATTGGAGCTGCGTACCTTTTTATTTTCGGAACTTCCGGAGGTGATTGAGAGAAATGTTTGGGCACAAGCCTCAGCAGATCGGGGAACGCCATTAAAGAGATACACAGACTTTCCAAAACGATCAAGGTAGGTCTCAAGGTCCTTGCGGTGTTTTCTGTTGGTTTCATGAGCACATCACACACCACTTCTTTTTGCCTGACTTCCGTCGGGTGAGAGTGGAAGCTCAATCTCCAAGAGGCTTTCCATTTCTTGGATGGCCTGGCCTACTTAGTGCTGCCCCTGTTTGTAACATGGGCTTTCAGACTCTAGGTCGGCCAGTTTTTGTCCGACACGTGGCAACTGGACCCACGTTCCCCTCGCCCCTCGGTCCTTCACCAGCCTTCGGTGCCAGGCGCTGCGCCTTCGGCCCAAGGCGGCGGATGGTGAGAGTACACGGAGCCAGACGTTGTGATTGGATTTGATCGCACACTTCTTTTTTTTTTTTTTGGTGGGGCATGGGTCATGCAGTGACATTAGCGAAGAAGGACGCAGGCCCAAGTGATGGAGTCAAATCCAATCTGCTATCAAAAGACATGGGTTCGAGGAAGTGACAGTTATAGTTCCTGCCGCATTCACTTGGGAGACTCTGCGAGTGAAAAAAGTGAGGCTGCGGAGGAGGGCAGACATGTCCCCACGAAAAGCACTTGATGCTTGCGAAAGGCATCCATCCCATTGTCCGAGAAAAGCATTTGCTGTGTGAGGTTGTTCTTGAAATGTTTGTTGGAAGGTTGTGTGAGTTGCGATGTAGTTGGGATTTAATGATTTTAATGTTGATGTGTGCGGGGAAGGATTTTTGAACTGAAAACCGCATTTTCCAAAGCCTCCTCCAAAGGGCTAATGGTTCCCCATGGCTCTGCATGTGTTCGTGCTTCTGACCTGGAGTTGTCCTTGGCCCCCGGCCTAGGACAGAGACAGCGGCCCAGCAGGTGCTCGGCCGCCATGTCTCAGAGATGGTCACTGAGGAGGAATGGAAGGGTCCAATGGCAGAGATCCTGTCGCTGCCTCATGTGGGAGGACTCTGGACCAGGACGTGCTGCCATACGGCAACATTGGCACCCAAGAAAGAGGTCGAGTGGCTCAGGTTCCCAGGCCGATGGCCATCAACTGTAGTCCATCAACTTCGATCGAAGTGAAATTAAGGATCATGCCCTCGGTCCATATGCTGAGATGTAGGCGGTGTTGGCAGCCTGGCCATTCCGGTCCCTTCCCGAAGGAACACCGAAATACCCTGTGGTGGTGCTCACCAACTCTCCCACTGCAGAAGTCACTGCCTGCTACCCTATAGGTCCTACTATAGGTCCTTTCGACGCCCTCCAAAACCACCGGGCGCTGACCGGTGTTTCCGCCGTCGGCAGGCCTTTCCGCCTTTGGGGGAACGACGGTCACCGAGGTCCGGCCGCTCGAGCGGTCCAGTGGAGACCAGCCTGCGTGCGCGCAAGGCATGTGCAGGTCGCTCGGAGGGTGGCTGCGGGGCGCTGCAGGGCTCTGCGGGGCGGTCGGAGTCTTTTTTGGGGGGGGTACGCCGCGCAGAGTGGTGCAGAGGGGCTCGGCATTCAGAGGAGACCAGAGGAGCTCAAAGAGTTGATCTGACAGATGGGAATTTTTGTTGCACGGTTGAGATGAGATCCTCTGCGGGCCACGGTGGCTGGAAACATGCACCTCTTTGTTGCATGGACTGCGATGACAAACTCCTTGCTGACTCATAAGTCGGATGGCGCGGCTGGTTTTCCAGCAACTTCTCACGTTGACGTGTGGTTCATACCGTCAGCTTCAGAACGGTTAGGTTAGGCCAAAGAGGAGTGAACGTTCAACAGGAAATGAAAGAAGCAGCTTCCCTACTCAGTGCTAGTGCTGGAGAACGAGTCCTGCACAAGCATGTGTGAAAAATTCGTGTCACGGCGGAGACATTCTTGTCGGCCCTAATGACCTAATGACCCTAATGGTTCTACGGCCAGAAACTCCCATTGCTTCCTCCGCCATCTGCCGCGTTTCCGGACGACGGTGAGGACGGACCCGACGACCGACGCATCAGCCGACCGTCCAGGCTTGGACGTGGTCCTAAGTACCTTGCCAAAGATGGAGACTGACCACGTGAGCCACACCGAAGGCCGACCGGGTCGGTGGTATCGAACCCGAAAAACCTGAAGGTGCAGATGGAATAGTGCGCTTGGCATCCGTGTTGATTGGTGCAATATAGTCTATACAGCAGAGTTGTTTATGTTGTTTGGCTCCCATCAAGCGGACCATCCTGAGAAAAGATTGTGCTGCCCTCATTTGGGTGGGGTGTTTCCACATCTGTTTCGCAAGCCAAGCATCCCTTTCTTCCAGGATTGGAAGACCATTCTTTTCTTTCTGAGGTGGGGTGATGGATTTGGACTCGGACCCAGGTGCCCATGTGCCTTGCTCAGCCTGACTTTCTTCCCATGCTTCAGAACGCACTCCGTTCCGTTTCGCGCGCAGACCGAGACGCAGACGGTGCCAGGTGTGGTGTGTCTCGTCCAGGATGTCACAGCTCTGAAGGCAAGACGCTCAGAGGAGCGTCACGTCCTTGGATGCCGGATTCTTGTTTGATCCCATACGGTGGTGCAGGGGTAGTTTCACAAGAATCGGTTAGCTGACGTTTGTTTCTTTTTTCGCCTGCTCAACAGAGCCTGGACCTGTTCATGAGAGCCCAACTTCCCCTACACACTCCGCCCTCCACTACTACTGTAGGCCTTGCGACTTCACTCACAGTTGGGCCATTCGTGGATATCGAGACTCGAACAAGAAGGGGCCCGGTCTGACCCTCTCAAAGAGCGAGTTCTGGATTGGGGCGGCCGCGCACCGATCGTCCAGTGACCATTCGCCGCTCACCGCGCCGGTGGTGGTAAACGTAGCTTTTTTTGTTGGCGGAGCAACCTCAACACATCGATATCATTTAGTTGGGGCACTTCCAAGCCAAGTGGAAGATGGAATCCTTCTTGACCGAGCATCCCAAAACAATCACCATGTCACACGCACACGCATAGGTGTAATATGGTGTAATATATAATATGTATGTATGTATGTATGTAATGTAATGTAATGTAATGTAATGTAATGTAATGTAATGTAATGTA